AGAGAGAGGGGGAGAGAGAGAGAGAGAGAGAGAGAGAGAGAGAGAGAGAGAGAGAGAGAGGGAGAGGAAGAAAGAGAAAGGAGAGGGAGAGAGAGGGAGAGAGGGAAAGAGGGAGAGAGAGAAAGAAAGAGAGAGAGGGGGAGAGAGAGGGAGAGAGGGAGAGAGGGAGAGACAGAGAGAGAGAGAGAGAGGAGAAAGAGAAAGGAGAGGGGAAGAGAGGGAGAGAGGGAAAGAGGGAGAGAGAGGAAGAAAGAGAGAGAGGGGGAGAGAGGAGGAGAGAGAGGGAGAGAGAGAGGAAGAAAGAGAAAGGGGGGAGAGAAGGGAAGGGGGAGAGAGAGAGAGAGAGAGAGAGGAAGAAAGAGAAAGGAGAGGGGGAGAGAGGGGGAGAGGGAAAGAGGGAAAGAGGGATAGAGAGAGGGTGAGAGGGAGAGAGGGAGGGAGAGAGAGAGAAAAACAGAGAGACAGAGAGACAGAGACATCGATTGGTTGCCTCTCAGGGCAGGAATCAAGCCTACAACCAAGGCACATGCCCTTGACCGGAATTGGACCCGGGACCCCTCGGCCTGCAGGCCGGCGCTCCACCCACCGGGCCACACCGGCCGGCGCTCCACCCACCGGGCCACACCGGCCGGCGCTCCACCCACCGGGCCACACGGGCCGGCGCCATGTCCAGTGTTTGGGGGCGCGGCGCGGCGGGAGCCACTGGGGTTCCCACATTTCACAGGCCTCGGCATCTCGGTCGCGGGCGTCACAGAGGCGTGGGGCTGGGCCGGAGCCGCGCCCGCCGGGTCTCCCCGCGCACCTGGAAGTGGCTCTCCAGCTCCCTGGAGAGGAACTGGTAGAACAGCGCCCTCTCCGCCGGCTCCACGAGGCGGTCGTGGAACACGCGGGCGGCCTCGTGGGCGAAGAACAGGGCGGCCATCTCCTTGGAGTCCACGACGGCCTTGTCGGCCTGCAGCAGCCCCAGGAGGAGCTGGCGGGGGGGACGGACACACACACACACACACACACACACACACACACACACACACACGGCACCCCGTTAGCCGGCAGCCGCGAGGACATGGGCAAAACCCCCTGCACACCCTGCGCCCTGGGGGAGCAAGCCCGCAACCCGGGCATGGGCCCCGGACCGGAATCGAACCTGGGACCCTGCAGTCCTCGGGCTGAGGCTCTACCCACTGGGCCATACCAGCCAGGGCGCAACCTTTGTCATTTCTTTCCCCTGCGGGGAATCTTAGCCAATAGTCTAACGGCCCCGAGTGGTTTTATCATTGAATTCTCTGCATGGAATTATTATTATTATCATATATTCTATGTTTGTTTTTTTGTTTTTTGTTTTTTGTTTTGTTTTTAGAAACATGGATGAGAGAGAATCATCGATCAGCTGCCTCTTGCACACCCCCTACTGGGGATGTGCCCGCAACCAAGGCACACGCCCTTGACCGGAATCGAACCTGGGACCTTTCAGTCCGCAGGCCGATGCTCTATCCACTGAGCCACACCGGTTTCGGCTGCATAGAATGGTGTTTAATGATTCTTTGTATAACTGGTTCACGCATAAGCTGCTAATACACAGCAACACTAATCCATTTCCATTTCCCTTTTTTTTGCCCCTTTTGACAATTTAATGTTGAAAATATCAGTAAGAAAAATGGAGAGGAGGAGGAGGAGGGAGGGGATAGAGAGAGAGGGGAGAGAGTGAGAGACAGAGAGAGAGAGAGAGTCCTCTCAGTGAAAATGACATGTCCCCGTCTTAAACACGAAGAGCAAGCCAGAGAACGAGTTTGAAAACTAACCTTGAAGATGTCACGGAGATTGAACATGTAGTGACACTTGGACGGCGTGGTCAGCATGTTCTGGCAGACTTGGTAGTAGATGGCGAGGGAGCAAGAGATGAGCTGATCCTTGTTCCTCTGGACGTCAGGCATGAAGTTGTGGATGGAGAAGTACATTCCCAGGTGGACCTGGGGGAGACGTGGGACACTTCGGTTTGCCGGAGATTTTAAGCGCAGACTATTCCGCTCGCCCATTGCTACCGGACAAGGAGAGGCGTGGGCCCCCACGGAGGGTCCATTTCTTCCTTTCTTTCTTTAATATATATTTTTATTGATTTTTTTCACAGAGAGGAAGGGAGAGGGATAGAGAGTTTAGAAACATAGATGAGAGAGAATCATCCATCAGCTGCCTCCTGCACACACCCCAACTGGGGATGTGCCCGCCACCAAGGTCCATGCCCTTGACCGGAATCGAACCTGGGACTGTTCAGTCCGCAGGCCGACGCTCTATCCACTGAGCCACACCGGCTTCGGCATATTAGAGACCTGAGGTTCTCGGAGCGCACCCCTTTCCCGGGGGGACGGGGCCGGCCCCGGTACCTGGAAGATGGTGCGCAGGGCGCTCTGCGGAGGATGGGGCAGCATCAGGACGGAGAAGTGCCTGAGGACCCGCGGGCTGATGTCCCCCCAGCCCGCGGGAGGGATGCAGGCCGCCACGAGGGAGAGATCCTGGATGTTCTGTGGGGAGAGAGAGGAGAGGGGGAGCCACACGGATCCGTGGACGGCGAACCCTGCTTCCACTCCCTCAAACGCACCCGAGATACAAAATGTCTGAGCAGCCCCGGCCGGTGTGGCTCTGTGGATAGGGGCGCCGGCCTGCGGATGGAAGGGGCCCGGGTTCGACTCAGGTCAAGGGCATGCGCCTTGGCTGCGGGCACATCCCCGGTGGGAGGGGGGGGTGTGCAGGAGGCAGCTGATGGGTGTTCCTCTGTCATCGATGTTTCTAGCTCTCTATCCCTCTTGTTCCTCTGTGACTCTATGGAGGCAGAGAGTCACAGAGGATAAAGAAAAGTCACAGGAGACACATTTTTCGCCGAGGACAGAGGGATGTTGGGAAATAAGGGGAGAGAAAGAAGAGGGGGTGGGGGATCATGTGGGCTTTGGCCTTTGGATCGGATTCTACCCTGTTTCCCCTGAAAATAAGACAGTGTCTTATATTAATTTTTGCTCCCAAAGATGCAATTCGTATTTTCAGGGGATGTCTTATTTTTCCATGAAGAAGAACACGGTACACATTATTGTTAAATGAAAAGAAAGGAAATTTATTACCTGTAGACGGTACGGTAGTACAGTAGTTGTCAACACAAACCAGACAAACTGTGAATCCTACAGTATCAAGAATGTACTCATTGATTCAATGACAATCATGTCATCCTCTTCTGGAACATCATCATAACAATCCAGTTCCTGAGTTTCCTGGTGAATTTCTTGTGACTCCATTTCTTTCAGAATCAGTGGACCAAATCTCTCATGTTTAGCAATAGCATTCTGAGACAGAGCCTGGGGGGGGAGCCTTATTTTCGGGGGGATGCCTTATATTCCACTCAGAAGGAAGCCTGTAAGTAGGTCTTATTTTCGGAGGATGTCTTATTTTCGGGGAAACACGGTGTGTAGCAAAATGGCCAAATTAAGAAGGGTCCAATCAGGAAGGGTCAGGGCCAAACAAAGAACCGCAGCTCATATATGAGCTGGAGACAAAGGGACACGAGACAGATTTTTTTCAATTACAGATTTTCAGATTTTCGGATTTAGATTTTTTTTCCCCCCCATTAGAGAGAGAGAAAGTAGGCTTTTCCCACTTGAGGGCCTCTCCCCAGGGGGGTCTCCTTTGGGGACACCCCTGCCCAGATGGGAGTTTGTATATGCTTCTGATAAACTTCTACATTCTTATCAAAGAAATCCGTTAGGCCACGAATTTACCCTTCATCTTTGTCGGACAAGGACCCACGAGAAAAAGTCTGCCCCCAGAACCCCACATTCCAACAATATTAGACATGAACTTTACCTTCCACGCAATTTTTTCGGTATCATAGACTCCTCCCAGATCCAGCAGTTGTCTGATTAGTTCCAGGGGTGGCTGTGTCCCATACTTATCCGCTTCCGGCATATTCAGGTCATCAATGAATACTACAATCTGAAGGAAGACAAAGGTTTTAAAATGTGTTGATTAGTATTACTTTCCTTTATTATTATTTTTTTATTAAGGTATTGTGTGTGTATATATCTTACCATTGCACCCCCCTCCCCACTCCCATACATGCCCTCCCTCCCCAGAGTTTTGCGTCCATTGGTTATGCTTATATGCAAGCATACACCTCCTTTGGTGGATCTCTTATCTCCCCCAGAAATCCCTCCCCTCCCCACTGTCATTTGAGAGTCTGTTTGCTGCTTTACTGCCTCTGTATCTATCTTTTTGTTCATCAGTTTATAATGTTCCTTATTTATCCATACATGAGTGAGGTCATGTGGTGCTTCTCTTTCATTGACTGGCTTATTTCACTCAGCATAATGTTCTCCAATCCCATCAGTATTACTTTTCTTTAACATATGAATTAGGGGTATCAATTATGCTATGGCATGAGAACAAAAATCATAAGAAATGACATGTCCTTTCCTATTAAAAAAGCAGCAGACCAGATTCTATTGAAACGTGGCTTTCAAATCAGCAGAAACTGAAAAAAACAAGAAAAGAACAACAACAAAAAACAGCAGAAAACTGTATTCCCTTCCTATAGACCGCCACTGGCAACAGTCGGAAAAGCAGTGGATGCTGGGTAACGTAATCCGATGGTGGCCTTGACAGAGGAACAAATGTGACTGTTATGCCCTTAGCATGTGCTCACCGAGTCGGTGAGGTCCTGTGCTGGGTGCGTAGGCATTCATTTCCTCCCAGAGGCCCAGTGAGTACCATCACTGGGGGGGGCGCTTTACCTTGTTGTTTTTGGGGGCTCCGAGCGTGTCCTTGTTTCTCCGTCTTAACTTCTTCAGGACCAGCTCCCTGGTCCTGGCGGCCGTCGTCCTGACGCCGAAGTTGATGGTGGAGGTGATGACCCCTTTGAGGTTGTTTTTAAAGGGGCCTTCATCCACCTTCTCCGGCTTCTTGGCAATCTTATCTGCGATGCCAAACACAGGAAGGGAGACACGTTTAGAACACTCTCAAGACACGCTTCTTGCTCCTAAGGCGTTAAAAAAAAGTACAAAAATTGCCGAAACCGGTGTGGCTCAGTGGATAGAGCACCCGCCTGAGGACTGAAGGGTCCCAGGTTCGATTCCGGTCAAGGGCATAGACCTTGGTGGCGGGCACATCCCCAGCAGGGAGTGTGCAAGAGGCAGCTGGTCGATGCTTCTCTCTCATCGATGTTTCTAGCTCTCTATCCCTCTCTCTTCCTCTCTTGTAAAAAAAAAAAAAAAAAAAAATCAATAAAATATATTTTTAAAAAATTTTCCTAAAAAAAAAAATACAAAAATGACAGCATTGTACAGTACTGCTGACCGGTTAGAGAAATGACTGTGGGCAAGCCGGGGAGAGAAGATGTGCCCACGGGGGAATGTTTTCCAAACATCCCCCTCCTTTCACTCGGGAAACACGCCTGTGGGCACCCACCTTGGCTCCCGGCCGCCGTCTTGTGGGAATCGGAGAGCAGGGCGCTGATGTTCTCCCTCAGGCTGTCGGAGGAGACAACGGGAGGATCCGGGTTAGCTTGCCGACCGCGGGAGCCTTTTGCACAGGACACAGTGAGCGTTTCAGCCTGTGGCTGCTTTTACTTCCGCCTCCTCCAAGGAGACTATTATTTTTCCTGCTCCCTCTCACAGGTAAAGTTAGCGTCGCCGTTAGAATTAAAACCCAAATGTGACAAAGTATGGGCTTACTCTAAAAAAAACAAACGCCCAGCCGGTGTGGCTCAGTGGTCGAGCGTCGACCTAGGAACCAGGAGGTCACGGTTGATTCCTGGTTGGGGCACGTGCCAGGGTTGTGGGCTCCATCCCTAGGAGGCAGCTGATCTATGATCCTCTCTCATCATTCATGTTTCTGTCCCCCCCTCCCTTCCTCTCCAGAATGAATAAAGATATATTAAAAAAAAAAAAAAAAAAAAAAAAAACCCGGAAAATCCCTAGGATGCTAACCTATTGGCATTTTCTCCAGACAGTGAAGTCACTGTCCCTTTAAAAAAAAAAATGCAGCTCTATGTTTGTATAGTTAGGTACATTTTTCCAGGATGGAAAATAGTCCTTAGCTTCACTTTGTTAGGTCAAAGCATTAAAATTTAAAATTTAGTTATATTAAAAATAAATATCAGAAGTTCTCATCTAAAGGAATTAATTTAGTGAATACCATGGAAAAGTAAGGATTTTCTGAACTCCTCTTCTGAATATTTCTGTATTTTTACATAATACATTTGCTTTTTTAAAATAAGGCATAGTTAGCCGAAACCGGTTTGGCTCAGTGGATAGAGCGTCGGCCAGTGGACTGGAAGGTCCCAGGTTCGATTCCGGTCAAGGGCATGTACCTTGGTTGCGGGCACATCCCCAGTAGGGGGCGTGCAGAAGGCAGCTGATCGATGATTCTCTCTCATCGATGTTTCTAACTCTCTACCCCTCTCTCTTCCTCTCTGTGAAAAATCAATAAAATATATATTTTTAAGAATAAAATAAAATAAGGCATAGATGGTAAAATAAACTTTTTTAACCAGACCAATCAGATGTGGGGTTGAATGGATATTACCTTGACTTTTTAATCTCGTTATATAATAGGACTTCTCCTAAAATTGACCCGTGTTTCACATCGAATCCTCCTGAGCTCTCTAACTTTGTAAGCATCTGACTGATGGCACTGGTTTTCCCAACACCAAACTCTCCTAATGGGGGAGGAAAAAGAAATACATTAGGTTAGATTTACATGCAAGAAAACGAACAGCTGCTGACATAGTAAAACAAACTAATAACATTTTTTTTCATTTGAAAATTGCGTGAAAAGTATGTGTTTGCTCTTCCCTTTAAACAAAATTGTGAAGAGTGTATAAACTGAGAACTTTCTACGAATACATCTCCAAGTATTTATTTAATTTATATCTTTTTATGAAAGAATATATGAGGAGTTAACCGTTATTTTTCTATAATATGCATTCACACTGATCACCAATATTTTTTGCACATCTACTACATGCAATTCATTTCCCTGAATGTTTTTAGCAACACAACCTGGGTGGCGGGGATGGGTGGGAATTGGAATAGAACCCTCATGGCAGCAGCCTGGGAAGCCAGGGCTTTACAATTCACCAAAGAGTAAGTAAGCCGAAACCGGTGTGGTTCAGTGGATAGAGCATCGGCCTGCTGACTGAGGGGTCCCAGGTTCGATTCGGGTCAAGGGCATGTACCTTGGTTGCGGGCACATCCCCAGTAGGGGGGTGTGTATGAGGCAGCTGATGGATGTTTCTCTCTCATCATTGTTTCTAACTTTCTATCCCTCTCCCTTCCTCTATAAAAAAAATCAATAAAAAATATATATTTTTAAAAAAGAGTAAGAAAAAGCATTTCCTCAGTCCACACGGGAGGCCACGGCCCGTTATCTGAGCGTCCCCGTTCCTGCTGCCCGAGTCCTCTGAGTATAGAACCGGGAAAGCGATCTGACTGCCTCTTGGGAAAGACAACAGACCTTGGAGAGCTGGAAGAGGTGAATGAATGGGTTGAGGCAAATATGAAGCAAGAGCAGGAGCTGCGCTGAGACGTGCACACTGGCTTGAGGAAGCATGGGTGCGACATTGTTGGAAATGGGGCAGTTTATTTTGAACTTTTCTTCGCGTGCAGTTATGCGCGTAGAATTATTAAACCAGCCAACCTTACCAAGGTCAGTGGCCCTCGAAAGACCTCAGCCCACAGGCTGTGGAGGCTCCACCACCCTAAGCCCACGTTCTCCCGGGACTTGATGGGAAGTGAGAGAGTCTTAGGGTGTCCTGGGCGGGCAAACGTGGGGGTGTGATTGGGATTCTGTAGGTGGGAACAGCTCAGAGACTTATCCAACGGGCAGACAAGAATCGCTAAGCCTCTCCCTCACTCTGCAGTTCTCCTCTTGCGATTCCCCCGCACCTGTGAGAAGGACAGGGCAGAAGTTCTTCAGGAGGAGGCTGGTGAGGAAGGTCAGGCACGTGGTGTCGCGGGTGGCGGTGTGATTCACGCTCTCCCCGAATTCCGTGATCTTCAGGATGCTCTCGCCGTGGCCCTGCAGGTCCACCAGTCTGGACGTCCCTAAGTGAGCGTTTAGGAAGAAAGTTTCAGATCGTCTGCCATCATATCTGTGATATTTCCCACCCTCCAGAGGAGTGGTGCCCTAAAATTCTATGCCACGTGCATCGATACCCAGTTATATTTTTTTCTAGGTACTGTGTTTCCCCGAAAATAAGACATCCTCCGAAAATAAGACCTAAGCGCATGGAAAGATAAGACATCCCCTGAAAATAAGACCTAGCGCAACTTTGGGAGAAAAAAATGAATACAAGACACTGTCTTATTTTCGGGGAAACAGGGTAGTAGTAAAAACTAAGATCAAAATGACCCAGTGTTAGCACTGACATGTGATAAACAACTCACAGGCTGTAAATAACTATGATCAGCCACTAATGCTTACTGGGACAGATATTGTAGAATAGAACCCTGCTATTTCCAACTGAAATTAATTTGGAGTTAGAACTTTCTGGATGCTTTGGGACTTGACAGCCCCGGTTGTTTTCTCTAAAAAAGTCTTATCGCCAAACTATGAAATTCTTTGATGAGTGAAACCCAACCTCAAAGCAAATCGATTCAATTTGTATACTGAATTCCTTGTATTGGAAAGAGACCTACATGAAGCTTGACCATCCTGACTCAAACATCAACCAAGCTCTCAAAACACCACAATTTTCTATATATTTTTTTCCTTACGTTTAAGAAGGGTGAGGACAAAAACGATATAGCATGTATGGATAGCTGTCACACTGATTGTTCTGTTCTAATTTAAAGTTCCCTTTATAGTCAACTGCAGTATGCACATATGTTTTTCCTGTTTTTGTTTCAATAGTCACAGCTAAGTAAAAGAATATTTCTACTAGTGAGACTTTCCATGAACTACAGTTTTACAATGTACAACCAACTTAATCGAATACATTCCAACATTCTCTGAAACCAATAGTCAAAGATTTATTTAAGCCGAAACCGGTTTGGCTCAGTGGATAGAGCGTCGGTCTGCGGACTGAAAGGTCCCAGGCTCCATTCCGGTCAAGGGCATGTACCTTGGTTGCGGGCACATCCTCAGTGGGGGGTGTGTAAGAGGCAGCTGATCGATGATTCTCTCTCATCGATGTTTCTAACTCTCTATCCCTCTCTCTTCCTCTCTGTAAAAAAAATCAATAAAATATATTTTTAAAAAGATTTATTTAAATAAAAGGCATGTTTTGTAAACATACAGAGTGGAGCAAAATGTAGGTATTCAGTTGTGAGCACACAAAACGTAATTTGTTCTTGTCTTATTAATTATTAATTACTGGTTCCTGCACAAACTTGCAATAACCCATCAGGCCTCAAAGTTGCTGACATAACTACAGTCCTTTTACAGATGAAGTGTTCCTAATATTCTAGAGCAATCAGAGCCCAGTTCCTGTGAGGACTTACCTCTCTGAATCAGTGTCTGAACATTCGGAAGCAGTTCTGACCACCGGATGAACTCACACAGCTGCAGATCCACAAAATACCCGAAGATGGATGTCTCGCCAGTTGGGAGGGTAAGGCCTACATTTGAAAATAAGGAAAAATGTAAATAAGTCCGAGTAACAACGAGGCTCATTTTATGGCATGTTTCGCTCAGGACCTGCTCTCAGTTTGAAAGATGTGGTTGTTGAACCAGAAATAAGAAATGTTCCCCCAGTGTAGATCCAAATACGTAAAATAAGCCTATTTTTTCTTTCTAATCTTTAATTACTTAAAGACAAAGTTTTGTTAACTTTTGGTCTCTTGTTTGTGTCCAGAAAGCAAGGGGAATCACGATCTGAGAGCCTTTGAAAAATCTTGCCCGTAAGTTCTGCTTAATTCTACATATTATATCAAATACCAGGAATGCACTGGTTGTGCATGAGAAAATTCTGGTACTTATTTGCAAATTACATTTACTTCACTATTATAACAGTAATTAACTTTGTTAATAGATTCTGGAAAATACAGAACCAAGCAAACAAATTTAGACATGGTTTCACCATATGAAGCTAACAGTGTTGACATTTGATATATTCCTTTGAATTGTTTAAGAAATTCTAAAAAAAAAACACCTTTTTTTTTAATTGATTTCAGAGAGGAAGGGAGAGAGAAATACATACATGATGAGAATCATTAGAGAAAGGGTGTTGGAGTGTATTTATTAACTCTCGTTTACCTGTAACGTCCACACTTTAAAAGATGGTCCCAGCCAAAACTGGTTTGGCTCAGTGGATGAGAGCGTCGGCCTGCGGTCTGAAGGGTCCCAGGTTCGAGTCCGGTCAAGGGCATGTACCTTGGTTGCGGGCACATCCCCGGTAGGAGATGTGCAGGAGGCAGCTGGTCCATGTTTCTCTCTCATCGACGTTTCTAGCTCTCTATCCCTCTCCCTTCCTCTCTGTGGAAGATCAATAAAATATACTTAAAAATAAAAAAATAAAAAAATAAAGATGGTCCCAGTCCTAAAGGATTTCTTTTTAAAAAAATATATATTTTATTGATTTTGTACAGAGAGGAAGGGAAAGAGATAGAGAGTCAGAAACATCGATGAGAGAGAGTCATCGATCAGCTGCCTCTTGCACACCCCCTACTGGGGATATGCCCGCAACCAAGGTACATGCCCTTGACCGGAATTGAACCAGGGACCTTTCAGTCCCCAAGCCGACGCTCTATCCATTGAGCCAAACCGGTTTCGGCCCAGTCCTAAAGGATTTCAAAGATATCTCCTAAAGGAAGCAGAACTTTGACTTTTCCTTCCTAGAACTCACCTATTTCTGGTCTTTCAAATAATTCGTGGACAAGATTGTCAAAATCATAGGTGACTTTCGCAAGAGAAGCAGGTACAAAATTTGAGTACATGAGCATATCATCTTCATGCTCATCTTCGCGTTTCAAAGTTCCTCCAAATGCCCAGGTAAATGCAAACACGAAAAGCTTCTGAATCATCGTCGTTAACTTGTCGGGATATTTCTCCAGATACCACGGACTTTCATTACTGGAGTGGGTAAACGTTGGTTAGCTCTTTTAGGAGGCATTCAGTCACTTTATTTAAAAAACCATATCAAAGTCTCATTATTAAACATTTTAATAGGCAAGTGTGGACCTAAACATTTCGTTCTGTATTTTTATTTATTTATTTATTTTAGGCCATCAGCTCTTGAGATTAAAAAAAAAAAAAATCAAAGTCAGCGTGTAGTTTTCCTTTGGTGAGTCCTGTAAATTATTCACGGCTACTATTTTTCTTGTGCGTAAGAGAGTTAGAGTCAACTTTCACTTATTAGTATTCATGATTCACTTTTATTTTACGTCAGTGTATGAGCTCAGAATTAATCATCTCTAAAAGGAAACCTGGTAATTCTTCATGTCAGTGAGTGACAAGGGACTAGTCACCCGCTACTAACCAAGTCTTAGGGTTGACCTAGTTCAACCTGGCTGAAGCCGGGTGCTGTGCATCGGGCACAGACTTCTCTGGGTTAAGTCAACCCAGGTCATCCTGGTCCCCGAGACCCTGAACTTCCTTAGTGAAAGGGCTGAGGGTGATGGGACTTGGTGAAAGGATTGTGCCTGAACTGAAGACATTGAAAACAGTTCAGGATTTAGCATTATCATACAATTACTTGTAAATTATAAAAATAAAGATAGCCGAAACCAGTTTGGCTCAGTGGATAGAGCGTCGGCCTGCGGACTGAAAGGTCCCAAGTTCGATTCCGGTCAAGGGCATGTACATTGGTTGCGGGCACATCCCCGTTAGGGGGTGTGCAAGAGGCAGCTGGTCGATGTTTCTCTCTCATCGACGTTTCTAGCTCTCTATCCCTCTCTCCTTCTCTCTGTAAAAAATCAATAAAATATAAAAAAAATAAAAAAAATAAAAATTAATGTGTTTTTTTTCTGTAACAAAATGATGTGTATATGGATATTTGTGTGTGCTACTTTTATCTTATAAATATTTTATACAATGTTTCTTTATGGCTACGTGCTCTTTATACAAATTAAAGATAATATGTAGTTATCATGGTAAGACTGGAATTATTGGGGAAATTAATTCATCGTCTATTACAACAGTACAGGCAAGAAATAACGAAGGTTTGGGTAAGAATGCTGGTAAGCAAGATGCACACAAATGAATGAGAGTGAAGGCAGAGTTGACTGGCAGAGTAAAAACCAGATTAAGAATGCTCTATCATGTAAGAGCAAATCTGACATGAGTATTTCAGGGATTCCCAGTGAGATGCAGGAAGGCCTCCAGGATGACTTTCCTGTCCTACCAAGGGCAGGAGAATTATAGAGTTCATCATTTCGTTAGTTGTGATTTATTGAGCCCTTACTATGTGTCAGGTACTGGCCTACATATCTAGCATCTCATGTTATTCCAATTTTTAAAACATGTAGTAACCAGTTCAATATGTCTCAGCTCATTAAGGGTCGATTCATCAATTATGTGCATGTCATGCTTATTTCTTTCCTCAACTATGTACAGAGTTTGCACAAATGTATTCATGTTATCCACATACCTTAGCATAAAAATCTGGTGACCTTGTATAAGATATATGAGATGATCTCTAAGCTTAAAAAAAAATCAATTTTAAGTGCATTTTGATGTTATGACATCATAAAAGTATTGGTTTGCGGACGAGTAATTTTGTGCCAATTGGAGTGTTTGGCGAGTAGTATGTGCTAAAACGTGTCTGTTGAAGGCTTGCAACTGACCTTTTGTCCACGTTCTTGAACTTGACAGGAGCTTTTAAATGCAGAGAACTTCTCTCAGTCGGAACGGTCTTCACATCTTCACCTTAAAAAGGAAGGAGTATTTCCTCACAGTTAACGACAGACTTAAAATGAGGTGATTCATTATGAGGGTTCCCTTGGGACACGGTTTAGCTTATGAATCATCAGAGAAGAGCATCTTGCTTTATCTACAGCGTCTTAAGAAGTTACCTTACCTGGCCAGAGTGGGGTGATTTTTCTAAGAGAAGAGGAGCAGAGAATGTACCAGCAAATGTCTGAATCGAGCCTTCTTTGTTTGAAGCATAAATCTGCACACTCTTTTCTTTATTCCACTCTGGCGATTTTTTTTTTTTTTTTGGCAAGTTTGATTGTTCCAAAATGAAGACTTTAAAACATCCAGGTGACTACCTCCAAAATTAGTACACATTGCAAGCTAAGTAATAAATTTGTCCTGCCGAAATCGGTTTGGCTCAGTGGATAGAGCATTGGTCTGTGGACTGAAGGGTCCCGGGTTCGATTCCGGTTAAGGCCATGGACCTTGGTTGCAGGAACATCCCTGGTAGGGGTGTGCAGGAGGCAGCTGGTCAATGATTCTCTCTCATCGATGTTTCTAGCTCTCTATCCCTCTCCCTTCCTCTCTGTGAAAAAAATCAATAATATATATATATATATATATATATATATATATATATATTTTTTTTTTTTTTTAAAGAAATGTTTCAAAACAAACCCCGAACATGTGCACTGTAGGCAAATGTAACTGTCTCTCTCCTCACCCCATCACCCACTCTTTTTGTCTAAATTCTCCATTCCACAGAGAAACACAAAGAATGAATGGTTACTCGTCCTTCCTTTTAGCTTATGCTTTAAATCATGTTTGGTTTCTCTATGTTAAAATCACACGGGGTTCTTGTAAAACAGAAGTACAAAAAGTATACAGAAGAAACTAGCAATCCCCCATAATTTCAACACCCACAAAGAATCATCATTGAATATTGAGGCATTTCATTATGGTCTTTAATATTAATATGTTACTATTTAAAGGTTAAATATAGAACATTTTAAAAAATTAGAGACTTGGGTTCTCGTTCTATTTATTTGTTTATAATTATATTTTTAATGATTTCAGAGAGGAAGGGAGGAGACAGAAACATCAATGATGGGAGAGAATCACTGATCAGCTGCCTCCTGCATGCCCCCTAACGGGGATCAAGCCCGCAACCCAGGCATGTGCCCTTGACCAGAATCGAACCTGGAACCCTTCAGTCTGCAGGCCAATGCTCTATCCACTGAGCCAAACCAGCTTCTGCTCTTTATGTTAAGACTACCTTCACGTCTCTCCATTGAAACATGATACTGTTGCATTATTAATCCATTCTCCTATTGTTGGAATCCAAATTCTTGCTGTTTTTATGATTATAAATAATTCTGTTCTATCTTAAGCTCCTTGTGCTAAAGCTGAGCACTTCTATGATTATTTCTTTATAATAAATTCCCAGAGTAAGGAACACTGGAATATGTGGTTATTTTTAGTCCAGGTTATCAAACGCATCACTAAGAAAGGCTGAATCAATTTATATCTCGAATACCTTCTGCGAGAGTTTATGTCTCAGCACATTCTAGCTAACAACTGGCATCATTAGTGTGACTGAGGGAGGAAAAATCACCTTGTCCAAAGCCTCCATTTTTGCCCATGAATTCAAAGAAGGCGTCAAGAATTCTGCAGAGCGTTGTAACGATGGTGATGTTCTGGACAGGAAATGGCTGAAATTTCTGATGGTTCTTTATAAACTGCAGTCCATCTTTGACACTGTTATTAATCAAGAACTCAAGACATTCCACTCCTCGTGGGCTCATAATTTTAGATGTTTTCGCGAGCCATGACGTGACGTAAGGCTCCCATCCCAGATCAACAGGGTCCTGACAGCAAAAGGCACAAGAGAGTTTTAGTAGATAGATAAATTACCGTGTCCGCCTACTTTCCACCTCTCTGATTCACCAATGCCGAATATGGTGTAGAGCCATCCTCCATTCAAAAAAGCCTGAGGAACTACCCTTCTCTGAAATATTTGTGATTCTTAATGACAGTCCTGCCAGTCAGCACTGTCCTCAGGGTCATTCACTCAACTGAGACACACAGATCAGAAGAAGGGTGAATGGTGGCTAATGGTGGACTTCATTGTAGGAGACCCTTACCCTGGTTGTCTTCCATCTCTTCGCCATCTCTTGGGAATGAGTTTCACGTTCCCATCATTAATGTTTCCATCTCTCTCCCTCTCCCTTCCTTTCTGAAATCAATTAATCAATACATATATACACTGAGTGGCCAGATTATGATGATCTCTGAACACATAATCATCTGCCACTCAGTGTCTATCCTATTTAATAAAAGGCTAATATGCAAATTGTCCCCTTGATCAGGAGTTCAACCAGCCAATCGCTCACGTCCCTACCTCCTGGCCAGGCTGGTCGGACCCCATCCATGCACGAATTCATGCACCGGGCCTCTAATATATACATTTATATGCACATCCACACACATACACACACACTCTGAGTGCCCAGATTATTATGTGTTCAGAGGTCATAATAATCTGGCCACTCAGTGTGTACACACACACACACACACACACACAGAAATTTGTCTTTGAAGACTCACCATATAAACCATCGCACACCGGCTGACAGTGGCAGGACTGGCGTGGGCGAGGCTGTCCACTTCAAAGATCACCCTGATCTTATTCGTCAGCGCGATCCTCTCGCTGTTGGCGAGGCACAGCATCCTCGTGTTGTCCAGCATCGAGTTCAGGTTCTCCACCCAAAAGGCGTCCACGGGACCATCCAGGACAACCCACTGCCAGTCAAACTCTGCGGAGGAAACACACCGAGTGAGACGGAGGGTGATCCTCGTCTCCTTTCACTGAAGGCTCGCACGGTTCTGTGTTATTTAGAAAAGGCCTCCTCGCGAAGATGAACAATGGTCCCTGGGACACGCTAGAGGGAACATGTTTATGTGTAGCCTATGGCGTCTATCGATAGGAATATTCGGACCACATATTGATAAATGCTTTGAACACTGCTTCAATTTTCCCAGACGGCCCTTACCATGTAGGTCAGAGAAGAAGCCACGGGTTATTCTTTTCCATCATTTGCCCTCCTGTAGGAAGGAAGCAGGGAAGGGAAATAGAAAGACCCCAATAGACGGATTTGAGACCATTCCACATGGGGCCACCATTTCCCCCTCTTCCCACCCTCCGGACCCATCCCCTGCCACCTCGTTTTAGGAAACTGACAGGTCCGGAGAGGGGAAGCAGGAGCGGACCGGGGTGGAGACAGAGTCTGAGCCACTTGACAGACGTTAAAATCTCCCAGGACAGGCGAGGAGAGGGAGGGTCCTGGTGTCCCCACTCTCTCGGCCGAGACCCCTACCACGGGAGTTTTCTTAAAAAACCCTCCAAAGGACACTGTCTGCGCCCCATCCCTGAACTCCCCCCGACTGAACACCGAGGAGTCACACGCACAAACACAGACACTCTAAGGAAGCAGAAGCTACAGCTGAGGATCCTTTCTACGTCTGCAAGGTAAGTTCCCTCCTGGCGCGGTGCTATCTGGACTCTACGCAAGCCCTGGATTCCATCTACCTAATAAAAGAGTAACATGCTAATTGACCGTACCTTCGTGACACCCACCAGCCAATCAGGAGCGAGTATGCAAATCAACCCAACAAAGGCGGTGGGTTAATTTGCATATGCGGGTGCCAAGCGGCTGGGGACGCAGGCGTCCCGCACCACCCCAGCCGCTTGGGGCCTCTGGGCAGCGTGGGAAGGCAGAAAGGCTCCTCTGGCCAGAGCCAAGGTGGTGCTGGAGGAACCAAGGCCCATTCTTGCATCGGGCCACTGGTAGAACACAACTGCATGGGCGGTAAGATAACGTGGTAAAAATCACCCAAATTTCAAATGCGCACACAAGAAAGAAAGAAACAGCACAAGAACAAGAGCACGCATCAAAAATGTTTAAAAAAAAATATATGAGGGAGTTTCAGACTGGGTCCGCTTGCCTTCTTACGTTCATCCGTCATCTAGATGAAACGGGATCTTGACACTTACTCTCGCTTTCGGTAACTGGAACCTCCTTCTCCATCTCTTTCTTAAACCTGGTGGCGTCCACATCTGATATAGTCGCGGCGTGGAGCTGGAAAACCTGAGATAAGTGATCAATCGTGTTCACATTTTCATGAGACCACACTTCCCCAGGAGAACGGACTGTGTGTCAATACGCTTTCTTTTGCGATAAACACAGAAGAGGCAGAAGGTTCCGGGGCTGAGAAGACCCCCATGCTTCCACCGCGGGGGACGGTAACGTCTGGACCGCAGGTCCTGTGTTCTTCTAGAACATTCTTACCTTTCCGTCCCCCCACCCTGAAAGATGATACGGTCTTGTTAGATAACATTCAAAGAATACAGCAAAGCACGACGGGGGGGAGCAGGAGTCCCCTGAGCCTCCACCGTCTCTACCAACACCACGTGGACACCTGGACGTGTCGTGTTCCTAGTCCTTCCTTCACCATCGAGGTTCAAGGATCACCTGCAGGGTCTGCTGACCTGCAGATTCTAACCCCTCGTCCTTGGCAATTCCGATAGGATTTAGCCCAGGAATTCCTGTGTGTGGTAACTCCCTCCCCATCCCCCCATACCCCTGTGAATGGAACACAGGCTGTTCTCACGCCAACCTCAGGAATTCTGCTCGATGCACCTATCAACTCCCAATTACCCGGGGGCTAATTATTTATCCCCGCAGAGGGGTGAATACTGTGTCATCGGCTGAATGGGCTGGCTTCCCTTCCTGGCAGGAGCAGGAGGAGAGCAAACACTGGGCCTGTGCAATCACTTCCCAGTCCCAGGCCTCACCAGGGAGGTAAGCAAGCCCAAGGCTCTTCCCGGTTGTTGTTCTTATTACGGAAGCCTGCGGTCAGCGTCCCTGCCCACAAGCCATGGCTGGGCACTACGCCCTCCTGTATCTGGATTTTTAAAAAATGTGAATCAAATATTATATGCCTTTTGATCTTTAATAAATTCTACGAGGTTACTTTCCTGGAAGTTTGTAGCAATAACATGTCTACCAATGAGATGTAAGAATGTGTGTTTCATCACATCTTTGTTGTTGTTAATCCTCACCAGTGGAGAATTTTTGCACTAATTTTTTTTTTTTTTTTTGAGAGAGAGTAGAAGGGAGAGAGAGGGAGGGATAGGGAGGCGGAGATGGGAAGCGGGAGGGAGGGAGAGAAAGAGACACACATCCACTAGTTGCCTCCTGCATGCACTCTGACCAGGGCTGGGGTCGAATTTGCAACCCAGGTACCTGCCCTTGACCGGGAATCGAACCCCTGACCCTTCAGCCATTTGTAAGGTATATTGGTGATAACCAAATCATCACTTAGTTCACCATTGTGTTCCTTCAAAAGTGAGCCTCTTGAATTTCATTTTATTGTTTACTATTTTCAAACAGAATGGGATATTTTCTGCTTTTTTTTTTTTTAAATAAATGATCATAATTTTTTTCTTTTTAAACAATGATCATAATTTTTTTTTCCTCACCTGAGGATATTTTTCCATTGATTTTTAGAGAGAGTGGAAGAGAGAGGGAAAGACAGAAATATCAGTGAGAGAGAGAGACAAATTGATTGGTTGCCTCTTGTCCTGGGGGAGGAGCCTGCAATTCAGGTTTTATGCCCTTGACCAGAATCGAACCCGGGACCCTTTGGTCTGCAGGCCGATGCTCTATCTGCTGAGCCAAACCGGCTAGGGCGATCACAATTTTTATATTCACTTTTACCCTAGTTCGTACTTAACGATGCTTTAATATTAGTCTTCAGACACAACGAAATAATCCCCAATAGTCCAATAAAAATAATCATTCCATACTACACTTACATTAGATACATCTGAGATTCTTGACTTTAGCGCGAGATCACCGTCTTTCTTGGAAGGTTTCAAACTGTTGGAATAGACATAGTTCCGAATGGTTGCTGACAATAACCCATCGCTCCATTCCATGGTGTTAGGATCCAGCTGTCCAAATAGCTCCCCAACGGTGATACACTTTGGATTTAAAACACAAGTGTCCACTTTTCCCTTTCTTCCTGGAATCTGAGAAAAATCCAGAGTGTTTTTTTTTTTTAAAAAAAAAATATATATATTTCATTGATTTTTTTTTTTTTTACAGAGAAGAAGGGAGAGGGATAGAGAGTTAGAAACATCGATGAGAGAGAATCATCGACCAGCTGCCTCCTGCACACCCCCTACTGGGGATGTGCCCGCAACCAAGGTACATGCCCTTGACCGGAATCGAACCTGGGACCTCTCAGGCCGCAGGCCGACGCTCTATCCACTGAGCCAAACCGGTTTCGGCCAGAGTGGTTTTTAAAGACATTAACGACAGTACGGATGCCACCATAACAACCTGGCTGTCATTCGACCGGACAGGGGAAAGGGAAAACCAGGCGGGTGCATGCCCAGTTAGGGCTGAGTGGCGTGGGCAGGTGCCTGCCTGTCAATCACACCTGAAAGCAAGTCCGAATGGGCGTGGCCCCTGGGAGCATGTGAAACCTAAACCTATGAGCTTCCAGCGAGGAAGTCTCTCTTCTCAGGGCAGGGGTGCCTTCCCCAGGCCCTCAGGGCTTGTGGTCACATGGGGCTCCCGTATGGATCAATGGACTGGAATCAGCCGGAATGCTCCAGCACCCCTGCTCCGACATGGAATGGACACTCTGGACACGGGCTGAAGGGGAGGGGACTTTGGAACCTGAGAAATGTAACTCTATGCCAACGAGATGTACCCCATTCCGACCTCGTGGGCTGGTCTCAGAACATCCCTTCTCTGAGGGTCATTGCAGAAGCCTCACTCCCTCCCGTGTCTGGAAGGGAAGTCTGAGCCCATTCATCCCATCGGCATCAGTACAATCCTTTAATTTTCTGCCTGGCTGTTACCCAAGGGTTTTTGGAGAGATCTTTCACTCCAAAGAAAGGTTCATTATAGAGAAAGCAATATCCAAGGCGCTATCAAGAATGGATGTTATTAAAATCAGCCATAATGCTCAAGTCATTTATTCTAAAAATCCTGGCTATTACGTTAATATCCCTTCATATTAGATAACTGAAGTATACACTATGTATTGGAGTCTGACCTTATATTGAATAAAAATATATCATGAAAAAGTAGGAGTTATTCTAGGAATCCCAGGACAATTTAATATTAGTAAATCTATCAACACAGCTTAGTACATGAACCAATTAAAATAGAAAAAGTAGATGCTAAAATCATTTCGTAAATTCTAGGAGTCAAAAACCGAAGTATAATGAGAACAGAAAAAAGTATTACTATAAAAAAATGATAATATCAAAGTATGATAATGGGTATGTATCATAGACCAAGAGTAAACATATTAAATGCATAAAATATTAACTGCATTCCAGATAAAGTAAGAAATAAGATATTACAGTTAACATTGTCTTGAAGGGCAAATCAACGCAGTAAGTGAAGAATATAAGTTACATAAATATTAGGAAAGGTACAAAATTATATTCCTTGGAAGATGATTCAACCGATTTGTCTAAAAAAAAAAAAATGAGAACCTACCACTCCATTAAACAAGGTGAGTAGACATACAATAAACACACAAGTTGATCATTGCATTTTCCACTAGCCATGACCAGTTTGAGATTCAAATGAAAAACAGTCCCATTCACTTCAAGTGATTCCTAAATACAAAAGTCCTATCAATACGTTTAACAAGGACAGAACAACTTACGACGTAAAGAGAACATGACGCTCGAACGGAAGCACGAAATACGATCTTAACCAAGAGAGAAACACTGTATTTCGTGGAACATGTACCTGTGAAAGAGAGATCCTGGTTTCAATGGATAATAACTCTTGGATCGGTAAAAGCACCAATGCTCTCTCTAAAATTCTCCTCACGGTCGTCTTTCCTCCACCTGTCGGGCCCACCAGCATCACACCAACACAAGCCTAGAACAAAATGGCAGAATTATGGCTTAGGTTTGGTTTCCTCATGGTTTGACTGAGCTGAAACTTGAAGGTTCTTATTTGTAAACACATCTCTAACTGTATCTACAAAACCCTTCCTTCAAATTACTGTTCAATCTATTGTAAATCTGGGTTGTCTTTATTGACTAGGCTAATGTTTAAAATCGCCAGAAATCTAATTTTATTTATTTTAAATATATTTTTATTGATTTTTCAGAGAGGAAGGGAGAGGGAGAGAGAGATAGAAACATCAATGAGGAGAGAGAATCATGGATCAGCTGCCTCCTGCATGTCCCCTACTGGAAATCGGGCCCACAACCAGGGCACGTGTCCTTGACCAGAATTGAACCTGGGACTCTTTAGTCCAGCAGCCCCCAAACTTTTGGACCTCATGGATCACCTCTTGGTCAGTTAGTCCGCAGACCAATTCTCTACCCACAAGCCGCACCAGCTAGGGCCAGAAATATAAGTTTAAAATTCAAATAATAATTTCCAACTGAGATTTTTCTCAGTTGATCTCACTTTTCAATTCTCCTTTCTCCCTGGACCTTTCCCTACAATTGGCTTCTGTAATAAAATTTATCTGGGCTTTCCTTGGCTCCATTTTATCTCTGTGTTCTGATTATTCTTTCCATGGTAGCCTCCGTAATAAGAAAATATTTTGAAAAATCAGACACAAAAACACAAACCACTATTATAAAAGGATCTGTAAATTTTATTGCATTAACAATGTCTCTTGCATATCTGGACTCCATGAATGTTCCTAAAATGCCAAGACTTAGAGAATGTATTGGCTATGCATGGAGACAATCCAAAATTATGACATTATGTCATGAAAAATTTACTTAAAAAAATTTTTTTAAACATATTTTATTGATTTTATACAGAGAGGAAGGGAGAGAGAGGGATAGAGAGTTAGAAACATGATTAGAGAGAAACATTGATAAGCTGCCTTTTGCACACTCCCTACTGGGGATGTGCCCGCACCCAAGGTACATGCCCTTGACCGGAATCGAACCTGGGACCTCTCAGTCTGCAGGCTGATGCTCTATCCACTGAGCCAAATCAGTTTCGGTGAAAAATTTACTTTTACTAAGAAAAAGACCAATAACCCAACTGAAAAGCGAGTACGTTACATAATCTGGCAAGTCACAGAAAATCCAAAAGGCTAATCTATCTATAAAATAAAAGCGTGATATGCAAATCAACTGAACGGCTGGCCAGTGGAACAACCATTCAGAAGCCGGGGCTGCAAGGGCCTACCCTTACTCGAATTTTGTGCATCAGGCCTCTAATCCTATAGAGTAAAAGCCTGATATGCTAAGTGTCCAGTTGACCAGTCAGCCGTTCAATCAAAGCTAATATGTTAATGATATGCTAAGGACACTCAGCCACTTGCTATGACGTGCACTGACCACCAGGGGGGCAGCTGACCAGTCACTATGATGTGCACTAACTACCAGGGACAGATGCTCCAACAAGTAGGTTAGCTTGCTGCTGGAGTCAAGTCAATCAGGACTGAGTGAGATGGGCCAGACATGCCCTGGAGCCCTCCTCCAGTCCCTCCCCCATCCCTCCCTGGCCCCAGTGGTGCACCGGTAGGGTCCCTCGGCCTGGCCTGCACCCTCTCGTAACCCAGGTCCCCTTGGGGGATGTCAGAGAGCCGGTTTTGGCCCGATCCTGCAGGCCAGGCCAATGGACCCCATTGGTGCACGAATTCATGCACTGGGCCTTTAGTAAACCCATCACAGGAAGTACAATTGTACTCGTAACCAGGGAAATGCACAGTCCGACGTTTTTCCAGATGGCAACTCAGGGAAGGAAGAATAATGGAATGTAGACACTTCACACCACGTTTGCAGTGGGTTTTGTGTGTGTGTGTGTGTGTGTGTGTGTGTATGTGTGTGTTTTACAATTAAGGGGATGCAGGTTGAAAAGATTAATTTGTTGAGAGCTACAGTGAAGGATCAAAGTCTAGGTAAATAGTTAATCAATAAACCACTTTACTTTGAAGCGGGGTGGCAATGGCTCTCCCTTGTCAGTTCCTGTTGTGTTCTCCTGGGTCCGACATTTTAAAACCCGGGGCAGAGAACGGCTACCACGCCATCCTCCACTCACCTGCAGTTGGTTGTGGAACTGGATGATTTTCTCTTTCTGAGCTGGCCATTGCTGTAAGCCCAACAGCTGTGTTGCAATAAAGACTACTTTCTAGAAGAAAAGAAACAGGTTAATTTAAAATGCACTGCAAATCAAACTCTTGGTGTCTAATCGTAAAAAAAAAAAAAAAAAAAAAAAAAAAAATCTCTCTTAACTAGGTACCAAATACTGACCTATCACGGTTCTTAAATTTTTAGTTCGCCAACCTGAGAAGAATGAGAACCTATTTTTCCACCCAAAATACAATATATCCAATTTTTTTTTTAAATACACTTTTATTGATTTCAGAGAGGAAGGGAGAGAAAGAGATAGAAACATCAATGATGAGAGAGAATCGCTGATCGGCTGCCTCTTATGTATCGCACACTGGGGATGGAGCCTGCCACCCGGGCATGTGCCCTGACCAGGAATCCAACTGTGGCTTCCTGGTTCATGGCTCGACGCTCAACCACTGAGCCACACAGGCTGGGCAGTACATCCAGATTTTGGATTTGGAGGCTCCAGTAGCAGATCCACAGATCCTCCCTACAGTGAAGAACTCATGCTTTAAAATATGCTTCAGAACGAGCTGTAACCACAGGACGAGTGTTTACCCTACAGTAAAAAAAATGACTTTGCCCTGATTTGGGGGGGGGGGTGTTTGGTGGGAGGGAAGAGAGAGGGGGGCAAACAAAACGCATAGGAGCCTTCCTCCCAGCCCCTCTCCCCCTTCTTCCCCCACAACAGTGCAGGGGAAGCTCTGGCCCCCTAGGGGAGACACAGATCTCCAAGTATCTCTGTCCCCCCCTCCCCACAATGTGATAACACGAATAGAGCGATTCGGGAAGAAGTGCGATTGTTTTCATCCATGGCGCGTTCCTTCTCTCTTTTTTAAAAAAGAACATATATATATATATATATATATATATATATATATATATATATATATTATTGATTTTTTACAGAGAGGAAGGGATAGGGATAGAGAGCTAGAAATATCGATGAGAGTTAGAAACATCGATCAGCTGCCTCCTGCACACCCCCTACCGGGGATGTGCCCGCAACCAAGGTACATGCCCTTGACTGGAATCGAACCCGGGACCCTTCGGTCCGCAGGTTGACGCTCTATCCACTGAGCCACACCGGTTTCAGCTCGTTCCTTCCCTCGATCCTCCACCTTGAAGTCATGGATGAGAGTTTCCTGCAGGTGGTCTCACCTCCAGGGCCGCCTGGCTGGCCTTGGGCACGGTGGCTCCGGGGAACGTGTCGCTGATGATGCTCTCGAAGGGGAGGACGTCCTTGGCCGTGCACTTGGGCAGGCTGGCCTCTCGCACGGCCTCGATGATGATCAGCGTCTCCTCGGCCTCGGAGAGGCTGGTGTCGCTTGGAGGACAGGAAGCAAAGGGAATGAGTGGGCAAGCGGGCGTGTGCGGCTGGCACGGAAGAGCATTCGTGCTCCTGTTGAGAGGTGGCCATCCTCCCGCCCCCTCCCTCCCCCCGTTCCCCTCCCTCTCCCGTCCCTCTCTGAGGTCTGGAGGAGGTCTGTCTGGTCCCAGCTCCAGGGATGGGCTCTGACTTCTCTGCAAAGTCAAGGCCATGCCATGCCCAGTCGCTGATTCAGAGATGGGCATTGCATCAAGAGAGGGTTGTTGTTGTTGTTGTTTTCTTGTTTGTGTGTGTTTTAAAAAATATTTTTTTAAATATATATTTCATTGGTGTGTTGTTTTTTTTTACAGGGAGGAAGGGAGAGGGATAGAGAGTTAGAAACATCAATGAGAGAGAAACATTGATCCATCCGCAACCAAGGTACATGCCCTTGACCAGAATCGAACCTGGGATCTTTCAGTCTGCAGGTCGATGCTCTATCCACCTGCGCCAAACCAGTTAGGACATGTGAGTGTGTGTGTGTGTGTGTGTGTGTGTGTGTGTGTATGTGTGTGTCTGCAAATAGCATGAGTTCATGCTAATGAATAGCCGATGAAAAAGAACATAATGATTTATTAAACATCTGGAGGAGAGGGAGAGCGTGCCCGGGTCCACGGCTGGGGACCCAGGGAACCACCTGACCCCTTTCCCATCCCCTCCCGGGAAAGCCCTCGCTTTGCAGTGCAGTGTTTCCCAAACTGTGGTACACGTACCCCCAGAGGTACGGGAAGAGTCTGGTGGGGGTACGCGTTGCACTGGAGTTTGGTGGGGATATGCACTGCACCGTGCTTAGCTGCGCCAAATTCTATGTTCTCATGAGCACGAGGGGTACTCAGTGTTACAAAAATTATAGAAGGGGGTACACATATGTCAAAAGTTTGGGAAACACTGCAGTAGAGAATGTTCCCCCGGTTATGCGCCCGGTGCTGTATAATTCCCTTGGACCCAACAATTCAACATTCCACTGACCTTTTAAACTTCTGCTTCTTCTTTCCCGCAATTATTATAATTGTCTTCAGAGACCTCAGGCCAAAGTTATAGTGATCCTATCAAACATGGAAATATTTGAAGGACTAACGTTTTGGAAGGAATATAAAATAATTGGGTAATAAGGCCCTGATAACGGCTGCTATGAAGAGGAACAGTCACATGAGCTCCATTTGCCCCGAAGGCTCTCGCTCCTCCCCCAAACTGGTGCTCCTAAACATCTCCTTCAAGAACAGTAGAGGGCCGAAACCGGTGTGGCTCAGTGGATAGAGCGTCGGCCAGCCGACTGAAAGGTCCCGGGTTCGATTCCGGTCAAGGACATGAACATTGGTGGCGGGCCCATCCCCAGTAGGGGGTGTGCAGGAGGCAGCTGGTCGATGTTTCTCTCTCATTGACGTTACTAACTCTCTCATCCCCTCCCTTCCTCTCTCTGGAAAATCAATAAAATAAAATTAAAATTTAAAAAAAAAAGAGTAGAGGGTCAGACCTGCATTGCCACCATTTGCCCACCATCCAGAACTGAAATATCATGGCTGACATGTACACATAAGGAGCTGTTTGGCATTGAAATTGGGTCTCAAAAGAACTGGTGGCCCAGAAAAGCTCACTACAGACGGATTCATATGCCTTTCAGCACAGCGATGATTGCTTGTCTCATTTTTTATTCTTATAAGTATATTTCCAGTAGGACATGATCTCACTCATCCGGGGGAAATGGTGAACACCACAGACTGATGAACAAGAACAGATCCAGAGAGAAGGAGCCCTGGGTCTGACGGTTGGACCTCAGAGGGAGGGTGGGGATAAAAGGGAGAGATCCACCAAAGGACTTATGTGCACCCATAGGAGCCTAACCAGTGGTCATGGACAATGAGTGGAGGGGGGTTTGGAATGGGGGGGCTGAGGACAAATATGTGATACCTTTATCAATAAAGAAAAATTTTTTAATAAAAGAACAGTTAATAAGTATTAAAGGTACTAAACATGGCAGTAAGCCCTGGCCGGTTTGGCTCGGTGGATAGAGCGTTGGCCCGAGAACCAACAGGTCACAGGTTGGATTCTGGCCAATCAGGTGCCTCGGTCCCCAGCATTGGCTGGAGCGTGTGCAGGAGGCAACCAATCAGTGTGCTTTTCTCCCATCGATGTTTCTCTCCGTCTCTCCCTCAGCCTTCCGCTCTCTAAAAACCAATGGGAACATAGCCTTGGATGAGGATAAATAACGTAAATAAAGTAAAACAAGCTTTGCCCCATCCCCCGCCCCGGAGGGACGCGGCACCTGCCCGGAGAGCTGCTTGCTGGCCAGCTGGTACAGGTTCACCAGCTTCCTGGAGAGCGCCTTTGCCGCCTGGAAGCCGGCGGCCAGCAGGCTGGTCTCGGCGATCATGCGGGAGTGGGGCACCACCATGGCCACCGGGCGGAAGAGGGACCTCAGCGTGCTGGGGAGGTCGACGTGGCTCTTGTGCCTGCAGGGCGTGGGAAAACAAGGACGGAAGCACTCCGTTTCAGCTTCCCTCACGCGGCACCCCGTAATGTAACTCCGCCCAAATCCCACTGGCATCTGTGCGATCTGTGTCTGAACACAGCCAGTGGTCGGCAAACCGTGGCCCTCGAGCCACAGGCGGCTCTTTGGCCCCCTGAGTGTGGCTCTTGCACAAAACACCACGGCCTGGGCGAGTCTGTGCGAAGAAGTGGCGTTAGGAGAAGTTTAAGTGTAAAAAGTGTGGCTCTCCAAAGGCATGTTCAACGTGGTGCTGTTGGTATTGGGCTCTGTGGACCGATGAGTTTGCCGACCACTGGGAAACAGGTTTAGGAGGTAGTTTCTATCCTGCTTTTCACCTCACAAAGCTTCATTCATGATCGTGTCTTCCTGTGCCTCCTCCCAGCTCATCTGCACCATCATCACCACCTCCACCCCAGTGAGCGCTGCCTTCTCAGTCCTCTGCTCCTCTCACTAGTCTGCAACTCACTCCTTTCCCTTTCCTCCCCTTCCCTTCCCTCTCGGGCCTGGCTGCCCTGAAGGGAAACGCCATTGCTCCAAAGCACACAGGGCACTGTGCCTGCGGACAGGTGCAGAGCGGCAGCTGCCGAGGGTGGTGATGGTGATGGTGGTAATGGTGATGGTGTTGATGATGACGGTGTTGATGGTGATGGTGGTGGTGGTGACGGTGATGATGGTGATGGTGGAGATGGTGATGGTGATGGTGGTGGTGATAGTGATGGTGGTGGTGACAGTGATGGTGGTGGAGATAGTGATGGCGGTGGAGACAGTGATGGCGGTGATGGTGGTGGTGGTGATGGTGGTGGTGATTGTGATAGTGGTAATGGTGATGGTGTTGATGGTGGTGGTGGTGGTGGTGGTGGTGATGGTGGTGGTGGTGATGGTGATGGTAGTGGTGGTGGTGACGGTGATGATGGTGATGGTGATGGTGGAGATGATGATGGTGATGGTGGAGATGGTGATGGTGATGGTGATAGTGGTGATGGTGATGGTGTGATGGTGATGGTGATGGTGTGATGGTGACAGTGTGGCCGGCGGAGGGGCTCAGACAGCAGAGGCAGGCAAATGGCAGCTATGGGCCCCCTCTCGCTGCAGATGAGCAGACACTTACCCGAAGTTCATGGTGATGAACACCGCACAGGACAGGTTGATACGGATTTTTTTCCCTTCCAGGACAAACCTACAAGACATGACAGCAGGCATCAGCAAGAAGGCTCTGGGCCAAAGGGTGTTAAGACTACAACTGTGCCCGGCCGGCGTGGCTCAGGGTCTATGAACCAGGAGGTCACAGTTCGATTCCCGGTCAGGCACACGCCCACCCAGTGGGGGCGTGCAGGAAGCAGGTGATCGATGATGCCCTTCCATTATTGATGTGAGAAGTGGATGCCCACTAGCTCGGTTAGCAATATTGGGTGGGCCCAGGCATGTCAGACCCACACACCACGCTGTGCCCACGAAGGCGATCCTGCCAGTTCCTGCACTGACCCGAAGGGAAAACCATTCTCGCTTGGGTTAGTAAACATCAGCAAGCTCACACACAGGCCATCGGTACAGACTAAAGTCTGTTAACCCAGAGTCTCGGGGTAAGAGGGGGCTCAGGATGTGGCCAGCATAATTCACTTTGGAAAAAGATGCAGAATTACAGGCGGGGGGGGAACAGAATAAAAACTTGGGTTTCTTCAAATGAAACTTGGGAAGATGAAAAGGCACCGAGAACATTTCAACTCAAATATTTTGTCCCGTTATCTGCCAAGAAAAAGAAACATGAGCTGAAACCAGTGTGGCTCAGTGGATAGAGCGTCAGCCTGCAGACTGAAAGGTCCCAGGTTCGATTCCGGTCAAGGGCATGTACCTTGGTTGCGGGCACATCCCCAGTGGGGAGGGGGAGGAGGTGCAGGAGGCAGCTGGTGGATGTTTCTCTCTCATCGATGTTTCTAGCTCTCTGTCCCTCTTTCTCTCCTTTCCTCTCTGTAAAAAAATCAACAAAATATATTTTAAAAAGATAAAGAAACGTGATGGGTGAGCGGCCCGCCCGCCCCCAGCACTTCCTGTGGAAGAAAACATTTGGGGCCGTGACCGTGACCATGAGCGCGGACGGTACCTGACAGAGTAGCTGTCTTTGGCTGCCTTAATGGTTTGGATCAGGGAGCCAATCACCGAGTGGATTTCCACGTCGATCTGATTGAATTCATCGAAGCAAAACCATGCTCCCGACTGGACTAGTCCCAAGAAGAACTTTCCCATTATCTTAAAATAATAATAATAATAATAAAATAAAAGATCACTGAAAGTTACTTGGCAGGTGAACAGTTTGACTAGATGTTCATTTTTGCATCTTCTTCCCATTCACCCAGACCAAGCGAATGCCGTTTGCCAGTCCTCCCCGATTCGGGCTTCTGGTGTCAAGTCCGATCTGCCAGCTGCTGGGCAAGGCGAGTGCCCATCTCTGACGCCTGAACACCCATCGCCAACTCGGATGCTCGCTCCCGGGAAGGTCATTAGGGCAATGGTCCTGCGGACGGTGGCCGAGTGCCTGGAGGAAGACGCCCCTGGTCCTCGGGCAGGACAGGACTCAGGGATGACGGCCGGGCTGCTGCTGGGGAGGAGGGTCAGTGAACTGACCAGAGGGGACGGGAGCTACAGCACCTGCTGCTCCTCGGCTGTGCCACCGGTGACGGTGCCAGCCCGGGGCGGCCAAATGGCCAGTGTTCAGGGACCGGCATCTATTGATCTGTAAGTGTTGGCAGCCAAACAAGGCTCATCAAGACAAAGTCACGGTCAGGCCGAACAGCATCTGGGGACCTCCCTCCCTCATCCCCTCTCCCTCCCTCATCAAATTCAGGTTTGATGTGCCAGTTCAGCCATAGTTCCAAACCATCATCATAAGTGGAAGAGCCTGTTATATATATGTAACAAATTAAGAGTACTGATCTGCTCATATAAATCTATTTATATATAAATCTACACACATATATAAATCTACACACACATATAAATCTACACACATATAAATCTACACACATATATAAATCTACATATATATATATAAATCTACATATATATATATATATATATATATATATATATATATATATAGTTATTCCATATTAGATTTTGTTTGGAAATATCTCCATCAAAAAGTTTGAAAAACACAATCTCCAGAAGCAGTTCAGTTGAATGAAGGCAAACTGTATAATGTTTTTTAGTTTATATCTCATGTTAAATTTCTATTCTATTGGTTTAAATTATTAATAGCATTTACAGTTCTATTACTATCGATACTTAATATACCTCTAAGCCCTCTTTCTTGTTCTTCCAATCCCCAATGAATGACTTCATTTGCATACTGTTTTTACCCGAGTGTGTAAGCTTTACCTTATAGTCCAGATCCTCAAAGCAGTTGAAGACCACGCAGTGTTTACCTAAGGACTGGGAAGCAGAAATGTCATTTCAACAAAGTTCTTAACTGATGACCCAAAACAACTCAGGTGAACGCTTCCCGAGGAGTGAGTGTCTGCGTTCTTTTGAGAAAACGTCTGCAATTAGAGATGAATCGCTCCCCAGATTTAAACACTCACACAGCGGAATTGAGCGGAAGGCACCCATGACATTACAGTTTGATTTGTATGTAGAGCATTAAGGTCATTTTTTTAAACACACCAACGAACAAAAACCAAGTCAAGAGCCGAACCCGGTGTGGCTCAGTGGATAGAGCATCAGCCTGCGGACTGAAGGGTCACAGGTTCGATTCCGGTCAAGGGCATGTACCTTGGTTGCGGGCACGTCCCCAGTAGGAGGTGTGCAGCAGGCAGCTGGTCGATGTATCTCTCTCATGGATGTTTCACACTCTCTATCTCTCTCTCTTCCTCTCTGTAAATCAATCAATCAATCAATCAATCAATAAATAAATAAATAAAACAATAAAAATAAATCAATAAAATATATTTTAAAAAAACAAAACAAAATAAATAAAACTAAGAAAAGAGAATTCCAGTGATGTCGTGGGCTTTATCCTTTCATCAGGTACCTCTGTCTCTTGTGCCTGCCTCTCTCTCTCTCTCTCTCTCTCTCTCTCTCACACACACACACACACACACACACACACACACACAGCCATTAATCACCAAGGCGAGACAATAATCTGTATGAGGCTCAAAATAAATGGGTCGCTCCTGAAGGAAGGGAAAAGGGAATAAAACCATTCGCAGGCCGGCTGGTTGGTCCACTGGCGTTCCAGGCAGACACAAAGCACACGGGGACCCGGTGAGACGCCAGCTCCCGACACCCAACAGCCCCCGGGAATGGGCCGGAGCGTGGTCTGAAGGACCGAGCGGGCCCGTTCCAGCTAAGAACCTCTTCACGGAATCGGTGTCCGCGTTGTGCTGCTCCAGTTCATGGCCAAGAGGAAGCCGGATTCGGGGTCTGCGGCCACTCACCCTGGCCAGGTTCTTGATGCTCTCGGTCTTGCCCGTGCCCGCGGGCCCCGAGGGGCAGCCGCCCAGGTTCAGGTGCAGCGCCCCAGTGAGCGTGAGCCAGCAGCGGGTGGTGAGCGGCGTGATGACCAGCCGCGGGGTGCAGCCCAGGTACTCGTAGCCGTAGGCGAACCGGGCCTCGCCCTGGAACACGTAGCACAGCATCTGCTTCTCGTTCCACCTGTACTGCAGGTGCCTGCAGAGGGGGGTCCCAGAGCGGGTGTCATGGGGGCAAAATCATTTTCAGGTGTTTTCTTTTTTTTAAAATGTGGAAACATAATCAAGATGGAAAATAAAACATTGGTTGAGCAGAAACCGGTATGGCTCAGTGGATAGAGCGTCGGTCTGCAGACTGAAAGGTCCCAGGTTCGATTACGGTCAAGGGCATGTACACTGGTTGCAGGCACATCCCCTGCCAAACCGGTTACGTCAGGTACCTGTTTCTTGTGCCTGCCTCTCTCTCTCTCTCTCTCGCTCTCGCTCTCGCTCTCGCTCTCGCTCTCGCTCTCGCTCTCGCTCTCGCTCTCGCTCTCTCTCTCTCTCTCTCTCTCACACACACACACACACACACACACACACACACACACACACACGAGTGCTCGTCCCGCGGAGAAAAAGGCCTTGCTGCCTCACGCTGCTTGGTGTGATGTCACATAAACAGAGGATTTATGAAAGCATCATCCCTGTGGTTTCAAATAAAAATGTGGTTTAAGTCCTGGCTGGTTTGGCTCAGTGGATAGAGCATCTGCCTGCAGACTGTCAAGGGCGTATGTCTGGGTTGCAAGCTCAATCCCCAGTAGGGGGTGTGCAGGAGGCAGCCGGTCAATGATTTTCTCTCATCGTTGATGTTTCTATCTCTCTCTCCCTCACCCTCTCTGAAATCAATAAAAATATATAAATAATGTGGTTTAAGACATTGTTGATTATAAATAAGATCCTCATGCGAATGTAGTCGAGAGAAATGCCATTTGTCCCAATTATTTTTTTAAAAATTGTATTTTGCCCGGCCGGCATGGCTCAGTGGTTGAGTGTCGACCTATGAACCAGGAGGGGTCATGGTTCGATTCCTGGTCAGGGCACCTGCCTGGGTTGCAAGTTCAAGCCTCAGTGTGGGGGCATGGAAGAGGCAGCCAATCAGTGATTCTCTCTCATCATGGATGTGTCTGTCTCTCTCTCAGGTCTGACAAAGTTTGGGGGACAGAATTAACGTACCCAGCGGTGCGTAGGTGGGAGATGGTTTCATGCGGAGTTAGGGTCCAGATCTACCTACCTTGTCCACTCAAAATCCTCCTCGCTGAAGACGCTTTTATGCAGTAAATCCCGCACGATGTCCTTGCAGTGGACGTAGAGGGTGATCAGTGCCCCCAGCACAGCTTTCGTCCGAGCGTTGCTCGTGTCCAGCACCACCAGCTCTGAGATCTGCCGCAGGTGCCGGACCAGAGTGGCGTGGACTTCCTCCAGCTCTTCTCTCGGCTGAGAGCTCTCGAAGCTTCTGGTGCAATCGTTGTAAAATACGATCTGGCTCTGGAGAAGGAAAATGTCAGCGTGGTAACGGGAGCGGCAATCCTACCAGCTAGATGTGTGCATGGCGTCTGTGGGTGGTGCGTGTGCATTTGCATGTGTGTAGGTTCAACGCAGCCCTGGCTTACCACGGTGAGCACCACCTGTCCGGGGTGGGACACCACCCACATGGAGAAGGTCTGGTGGCTCCAGTCTTCAATGCCTTCCCTCACAAATCTGCAAACCAACCAACAAACAAACAAACAAACAAACGTCTTTCTATTACTTACAGCTGACCATTGATTGGGGCCAGTTAATGATCAGAGAGGACAAGATCACAGGGGAATTCTGGTTCTTGTTGGGTCCAGTTGTAGGTGTGTGTATGGGTCCAAATAGCATCAGTAGGGCCTTGGTTCAGGCCTATTTTGTGACCCTTAAACCCCTCGTGAGCATCACCTGCATGCTTCCAATGGGGCCGAACCCAGAGCCGTTGTTGGAAACCACGTGGTACGATGGCAGGCATGAGTCCGAGTGTGAGAGAGATCAAAATAAATCTAACAAAACGGTAGGACACAGCACACGCAAAGGGTCTCCCGGGGATGAGGGCAGGGTTAGGGGGACCCGCAGGGATGGTGGACACTGGGGTCTGCAGCAGGGGGGCAGTGTTAGCATCCTCGGGCCCAAGGGGGCGAGGGGAGCGAAGTTGCTGGAACCCGGCCAGGGTGGAGACACCAGAGAGAGGCCCCCTGTCCAAAGCTGAGGCTGTCGGTAAAGGACCACAGATGCTACCCACAGAGGGAGCCTCACGTTTGCCCACGCACATGGAAGCAAGAGGAAGGGATCCAGGCCGTGCCACCCCCAATCGGGGTAAGGGTGCCCGCTGGTGGGCGGGCCGGCTGGGGTGAGGGGCAGCAGGCTTTCCGGTCATTCTGTCCTTTGGTCAATTTGCATATTACCTTTATATATATATATATATATATATATATATATATATGTGTGTGTGTGTGTGTGTGTGTGTGTGTGTGTGTGTGTGTGTGTATATATCCCATATGTAAATTATTATATAGGATATATGTATATATCCCATATAATACATATATCATATATTATGTTATATATATAATATATATATAAAACATACATATATATATTTTAAGATCTGAACATTGTACTTACTTTTTCAGCACATCAAACATGCTCTTCTCTACATTTTCCAGCCACTGTTCTACAGCATTTCTCACACGGATTTTCCTGCAGTTTAAGAAATAACCATGTGGAGGATTGTCTTCACTCCTCTTTCATTCCCGTGATAAGCTTGGAGACCAAGTCCCCTCCTCTGCTTACACCACTCACAGGCCAAAGGACTCTAGTTCTGTAACAGCTCTTGTTTTTCTAGATCTTAATTTGGAAAACTATGCAAAAAAAAACAACAATAAAAAAAACCCGAAAACCTATCACTTAGCTTTAGGAAATTCTGACATCAACACCAAGTTACAAAAGGAACAGTTCGGTTAAATACGAATTTACAGAATAGGTAGATTATAGGACAAAGCATTTTTTGATTCCTTGCTGGATCTTTGGAATAGGAAGCCTAGATCAGGGGCCAGGGAGGGGTCTTGGTGGGCGGCAAGACTTGGGCACGGCATTATTTTCAAACCATGCCCATCGGGAGCCCCGGGCCCCGGCTGGCAGGTTGGACTGGTGTTAACGGAAGGACCTAGCCAATCAGAACTGCCAGGGAGCCAGGACCAAGCCAGAGGCCACAGAAGAATCGGAAGGAGAAGCACCAACAATCACAGGCAAGTTTCCTTCCTGCCTAGATTCCACAGAATCTCGTGCTGGCTTTCTGGATCGTGCTATCACGATATACACGTGGAAAGGTAAATTTCCAGACAAGCGTGTTATCTTTGAACAAACAGTTGGCTGCCGGGCCGGCGTGGCTCTGTGATTGAGCATCGACCTAGGAACCAGGAGGTCAGGGTCCGGTTCCCCCTCAAGGGCACAGGCTCGGTCTTGGGCTCGATCCCCAGTGAGGGGCGTGCAGGAGGCAGCCCATCAATGATTTTTCTCATCGTTGATGTTTCTATCTCTCTCTCCCTCTCCCTTCCTCTCTCTGTAATCAATAAAGAGTATGTATTTATTTTTTTTAAATATATTTTATTGAACCTTTACAGAGAGGAAGAGAGCGGGATAGAGAGTTAGAAACGTCGATGAGAGAGAATCATTGACCAGCTGCCTCTTGCACGTCCCCTACTGGGGATGTGCCCGCAACCAAGGTACGTGCCCTTGACCCGAATCGAACCTGGGACATTTCAGTCCGCAGGCCGACGCTCTATCCACTGAGCCAAACCCCAGCTTCAGCTAATAAAAAGTATGTATTTTTTAAAAAAAATAATAAATAGTTGGCCGAAACCGGTTTGGCTCAGTGGTAGAGCGTGGGTCTGCGGACTGAAAGGTCCCAGGTTCGATTCGGGTCAAGGGCACGTACGTGGGTTGCGGGCATGTCCCCAGTAGGGGGAGTGCAAGAGGCAGCTGGTTGATGTTTCTTTCTCATCGACGTTTCTAGCTCTCTAACTCTCTCCCTTCCTCTCTGTAAAAAAATCAATAAAATATATATATTAAAAAAAAAAAGATGCCCTGAGCTGTCAGGCAGCAAACAATAATCCTATAAATAAATAAAAAAAATAGTTGGCTTAGTAAACTTCTACGATCTGTGAGACGTGGCCGAGCAGGGGTTTTGTAACGAAAAGGTCCTACTTGGGTAGCACCAGCGCCTCCCCTTCCTCGGAGATGAGCATCATCACAGTGGGAGGGCCGATCTCCTGCTTCCAGATCACCAGGTGCTTGATGTTCTCGAAGCATTTCCCGAGGTGAGGCTGTGGTGCAGAAAGGGGTGTCAGCCAGAGGGCCCCGGCGACGTGGTGTGGGGGGACAAGGCCGCCGAGCGGGGGACGGCGGTCTCACCTGGACAGACTCGGGGTTGCTGCTCCCGGCCAGGATGGCGAGCAGCTCCTCGTTGCTCAGGAAGTAAAACCTCGGGAAAATCATCCTTTTGATCTCGAGGTAGTCCTGTCCGGAACCAAAACGCAGAGCCGTTCAGAATGTGTGTGATCAGCCCTCACCCGGTGTGGCTCAATGGATAGAGCGTCGGCCTGCGGGCTGAAAGGTCCCGGGTTCGATTCCGGTCAAGGGCATGTGCCGTGGTTGTGGGCACATCCCCGGGGGGGGGGGGGGTTGTGCAGGAGGCAACTGATCGATGTTTCTAGCTCTCCCTTTCCCTTCCTCTCTCTAAAAAAATCAATAAAATATATTTAAAAAGAAAAGAATGTGATGCTTTTGCCCTAACTGGTTTGGCTCAGTAGATAAGAGCATCGGCCTGCGGACTGAAGGGTCCCAGGTTCGATTCCGGTCAAGGGCATGGACCTTGGTTGTGGGCACATCCCCCGAAGGGAGTGTGCAGGAGGCAGCTGATCAATGTCTCTCTCTCATGGATATTTCTAACTCTATCCCTCTCCCTTCCTCTCTGTAAAAAACCAATAAAATATATATTTTTTAAATGTGATGCTTTGCTGAAGGCCACTTAGGTTGGTCCATGCACTTCTCTTCCCTTTCTCTCTGGGGTTTTCCTGAACCTGGGAAGCCAGAGCTCCAGAGAGAGCCTGCCAGGGGCTGGACTCCACGGTGTGCCCCGTGGCCGGGCGGGAACGGAGCGGTCCTCCACGTGGGGACCCCGGAGGCGTTACCTCGAGGCCCTTCTTGATGTGTTCGAGGGAGGTGTTGCAGTTCTTGAGGCTCTCCAGCATGCCCGTGGAGGTGGCAACGCCCAGCGCGTCCAGCTTGTTCTGGATCTTTGACATGATCTCCTTCCACGTGGCGATCACCTGGGAGAAGATCTCTGACTCCTTGGGGAGCTGCCTGGAAAGAGGACAGTGGGGATCGTCTTATTTTTTTGGGAGGAAATGGCCAATGAGTGTTCATTGGAGAAATGATTTCTCAAGCATCAGAGGAATTATCCACCATGCTTTTTTTTTTTTCTTTTTGGACCTGCTGTCAGGGCCTGTATTCCAAGTGTTTACCTTTTTACCTCCAAAGAATTGAAGACCGGCTCCAGGTAAAGCCAGGACCGTTGACAGTTCACCCATTCCTCCAGGGTGACCGAGAAGAGGGTCAACTTTGCATCCCATTTATCCACAAGGCCCTACGAGGAGAGAAGCCAACGTCTAAATGGGACGTTGCTCCTCAGAATCATAAAACAGAAACTGAGCAGAGATCTGATTACCACTACGCCCCGGGCGCCTCTGGTGAGCATATCAGTGCTTTGCTCCAATCCAGAGCTCACAGATTGCAACAACGGAAAGCGAAGAGCAGAACGGATGGCGATGACGGCGCTCCCCGCGGCCACGCCGCCTACCTTGATGGGCTCGCTGTACGAGGACCCCTTCACGGTGGCCAGCATGGCCTGCGACTCCTCCAGCTGGGCCAGCAGGTCGTCCAGGGACGAGATGACGAGGATGGAGTCGGTCTCCGTGAGGTGAGGGACCAAGTGCAATGGCGTCGTCTTCCAGAGGTCGATGATCTTAAACAGCATCCTCTCCAGGGCGGCCTCGTGCATGGCTGCGGTGGCGACCTCGTTGATCTCGTTCTCGTACTGGGACATCTGGAACGGAAACGCGCCGTTTTGCCCTGTTAACCGAGCGGGACCCACTGAATACGTCAACCGTAAATACTGTCGGGAACGGGCAGGACGTACGAACACGTCCTGGAAATATATGCTGCGCCCTGAGAGGGACGGTATATATATATATATATATATATTTTTTTTTTTTTTTGTAATCTTTATAATTGTGTGTAAAATTTATCATTTTTTAATTCGATGTTTCCATTTTTTTGTTGTTGGTGGTGTTCTTTTCTATTTTTTTTTTTGTAACTTTGTATTTTCCTTTGTGCTTTATATATAAATAAACGAAAAAAAATATATATATATCATTTATTTTAATTAAGTATAAATAAAAAATAATAATAATAATAATATGAAATTACGTCCTCCTAGTGAAAGAGTACGCGCCCATTATTGGCTGCGTAATTAAAAAGGGAACTCCGGGTTAACAGGTTAATTAATGTCAGTGCGGCAAACAATTCCCGACACGCTGATGACGGGAGATTTCCGAGAGCACATGGCAGGGACGGCGAAGGTCTGATTGGTTCGGTTTCCCTCCCGACCACAGGCTGCGAGGCAGAACCTTCGTGACGCGGCACCCTACGCCGCATGCACCACACTCAGCGAACATTTCTACCCGCAAGCGTGGCGCCTCGGGGCCCAGATGGTGTAAGAATAGTTAACAGCGCCTTCCCTACCATTTCCTTCCCCTTCCTTTTCTCCGTATCAGCGTCAGCTGTTGAACTGCTTTGTGACACGCTTCTCCTTTCTATAGTAACTGGAGGCCCCGTGCACGAAATTTGTGCACGGGTGTGGGAGTGGAGGGGGTGTCCCTCAGCCCAGCCCGCACCTTCTCCAGTCTGGGACATCCCTCTCACAATCCAGGACTGCTGGCTCCCAACTGCTTGCCTGCCTCTGCCTGATTGCCCCTAATCGCTTCTGCCTGCCAGCCTGATCACTCCCTAACCACTCCCCTATCCGTCTGGTCGCCCCCAACTGCCCTCCCCTGCAGGCCTGGTCTCTCCCAATTACCCTCCCCTGCCAGTCTGGTCGCCCCCAACTGCCCTCCCCTGCAGGCCTGGTCTCTCCCAACTGCCCTCCCCTGCCAGTCTGGTCACCCCCAACTGCCCTCCCCTGCAGATCTGGTCTCCCCTAACTGCCCTCCCTGCTGGCCTGATTGCCCCCAACTGCCCTCCTCACCTCTAACTGCCCACAACAGCCCTCTCCTGCAGGCCTGGTCTCTCCCAACTGCCCTCCCCTTCCAGTCTGGTCTCCCCCAACTGCCCTCCCCTGCAGGCCTGATCTCTCTTAACTGCCCTCCCCTGCCAGTCTGGTCGCCCAAACTGCCCTCCCCTGCAGATCTGGTCTCCCCTAACTGCCCTCCCTGCTGGCCCGATTGCCCCCAACTGCCCTCCTCACCTCTAACTGCCCACAACTGCCCTCCCCTGCAGACCATCTTGTGGCAGACCATCTGTGTCCTCATGAGGGCGACCACCTTGTGTCTCGGAGTGACCGTCAATTTGCCTATGACTCTTGGATTCGATAGGATTCTTGGGGTCTAATCGTCTTGAGAGAATACAACGCTCATGGACCCAACCTCCCGCGGCCTCCCTCCCTCTGCCACCTCTCTCTACAGGGTAAGTGTCGCTGAAGAGACACGAGTGACGTGCGAATATGGCCAACCAAACAGGATCGCCTTCTCACGTTTCATCGACGATCCTACTCCCCTTTCCCCAGACACCCTGTGAATCCTCCCTTTTCCAACTCCGAATCCCTGCAGACGTTCTGGCTCACTTGGAATTAGCCTCGGCGCGATTTCAGCCTTTTATTTATTTTCTCTCTCTCTCTCTCTCTCTCACCCCTCCTGCTTACCTTGAGCGCCAGAAGGTTCTCGATGGTGCAGTTCTTGTCCAAAGGGACGGACTTCCCAGTGATCTCCTGGAACGCCTCCCAGTGCCGCGGCTTGAGGCAGGGATTGCCCAGGGCGGTGATGACGGGAAGCTCCTGCTTGAAGCCGGTCACCAACTGCTTGAGGTAGGCCACCAGGTTGCTCTGGGGGAGACCTGGGGAGAGGAATGGTAGGCTGATGACACGCTCTCTGTATGTTTTATTATTATTTCTTTTATTGACTTCAGAGAGGAGGGGCGAGAGACATCGATGATGAGAGAGAAACATGGGATCAGCTGCCTCCTGCACGCCTCCCACCGGGGATGTGCCCGCAACCAAGGTACCCTGTTTCCCCGAAAATAAGACAGTGTCTTATATTAATGTTTGCTCCCAAAGACGCGCTAGGTCTTATTTTCAGGGGATGTGTCTTATTTTTCCATGAAGAAGAATACGGTACACATTTATTGTTAAATGAAAATAAAGGAAATGTATTCCCTGTAGACGGTACGGTAGTACGGTCATTGTCAACACAAACCAGACAAACTGTGAATCCTACAGTGTCAAGAATTGACTCATTTATTTACTGACAATCATGTCATCCTCTTCTGGAACATCATCCTAACAATCCAATTCCTGAGTTTCCTGGTGAATTTCTTGTGACTCTATTTCTTTCAGAATCAGTGGGCCAAATCTCTGATGTTTAGCTTAGGGGCGCCTTATTTTCGGGGGGCTGCCTAATATTTCTCTCAGAAGGAAACCTGTAAGTAGGTCTTATTTTCGGAGGATGTCTGATTTTCGGGGAAACACTGTACATGCCCTTGACCGGAATCGAACCCGGGGCCTCTCAGTAACCCTCGGCGGCGAACGCGGGCGGGCGCGCTGACCTTTTTCCAGGATGGACATGAGGTCCATCCACTTGGACACGTTCCTCTGCACGGACTCCATGTCGATGTCGCGCAGGGCGCTGGCCTTCCACTCCTGGAAGAGGGCCCGCCACTCCTCCTGCGCCTCCCACAGCACCTTCCGCAGCGTCAGCTCGTAGTCGATGTCGGCGATCTCGGCGGCCGCCATCTGGGTGATCTCCTCCACGTTCAGGGGGTGCATCTGGGAGTGGGACTCGCCGAAGGACTCCTGGTAGTTGGCGCAGATCCGGACTTTGCTGGCGAGGCTCGAGGCCTCCTGCGAGAAGCCCTGGATCATGTCCAGCGCCACGGACATGGGCGTCCCCATGTGCAACAGGACGGGCGTCCGAATCTGCAGAGGGGCGGGAGCACACGCTAGGAGTGTCAGGCTGACCCTAACCTTTACCCCTTACCCCTTAACCTTTACCCCTTACCCCTTAACCTTTACCCCTTAACCTTTAACCCCTAACCTTTACCCCTTAACCCTTAACCTTTAACCCCTAACCTTTACCCCTTACCCCTTAACCTTTACCCTTTAACCCTTACCCCTTAACCTTTAACCCTTACCCCCTAACCTTTAACCCTTAACCCCTAATCTTTAACCCTTAACCCTTAATCTTCAACCCTTAACCCCTAATCTTTAACCCTTAACCTTTAACCCTTAACCCCTAATCTTTAACCCTTAACCCCTAATCTTTAACCCTTAACCGTTAACCTTTAAGCCTTAACCCCTAACCTTTAACCCTTAACCCTTAACCCTTAACTTTTAACCCTTAACCCTTAACCCCCAATCTTTAACCCTTAGCCCTTAACCTTTAACCCTTAGCCCTTAACCCCTGACCTTTAACCCTTAACCCTTAATCTTTAACCCTTAGCCCCTAACCCCTAACCCTAACACAGTGTTTGTAACGTAGCCATGCCCATGGACAGCATTTCAGCGCTCATCCCACGCTTCCCCAAGGTCTCCTGCGACCACCATCTGGAAAGGTGGGAGGAGCCGGGCAGAGGGAGGTGAGAGGAGGGGAAATGGGAGACATCCGTAATACCGTCAACAATAAAGTAAAAAATAGTCATAATTTTAAGAAAGTAAAAAACAAACAAAAACCTGCTCTATGTGGTCAAACATCTAACTACCTCACCCCTAATGCCTTGGCAGGGCCAGACCAAGCGACGTCACGGCCCCATAAGCCCGCGGGCCGGACGGGCCTCACCCCCCCGCCCTAGGCGAAGGCCCAGGAGGACTCAGGGTCCCTCTGCCCTTTCCATGCCCCCCCCCCGCCCCGGGCCCCGGGCCCCCGGGCCGCCTGCCAAAGCCCGTGGGGAACCAGCTTCGCTGTCGTCTGCCGTCTACGATCACTCGGGATGGAAGCAGACGCAGAATTTCAGCTGGGGGTCCTCTCACTTCCCACTCACAGTCACACGCCATCACAATCCCGCCGGTGGGTTCCCAGCTACGCATCCATCCGTCCGCCCTGACCGGCGTGGCTCCGTGGATAGAGCGCCGGCCTGCGGACCGAAGGGCCCCGGGTTCGATTCCGGTCAGGGGCATGTGCCTTGATTGCGGGCACATCCCCTGTGGGGGGGGGGGCGTGCAGGAGGCAGCCGATGGATGTCTCTCTCTCATCGATGTTTCTTGCTCTCTGTCCCTCTCCCTTCCTCTCTGTACAAACATCAATAAAAATATATTTATATATATATATAAAAAAAAGAATCCATTCATTCCATTCATTCCACCGTTCCCCCGAGCGTCGGCGGCGGAAGGAAGACGCCTGTCCGCGAGCCCGGGGCCTCTGCGCGGGCGGCCGGCGCTCACCTTGGCCTTCAGCTCGCTGGCGTCGCCCCGCAGCCCCGTGACGTAGGTCTCCAGGTTGTCCCTGAACTTGGCGACGGCCGCGTCCCTGTTGGCTTTGCTCAGCTTCACGGCGCCCTTGAGCTGCCCGAACCGGAGGAGGAGGATCTTGTGGATGGCGGCCTGCTCCTCGGGGATGCGCACCTGGCAGTGCGCGAGCACGGCGTGCAGCTGCGCCACCGCCGAGTACTCCCTCTCCAGCTGCGCCATCCTGGAGGACACCGCGTCCAGGGAGGTGAAGTGCTCCACGAATTCTTCCATCTCCACGGGGCGGCCCTCCAGCTTCTTCAGCGAGGACTCGGCCACCTGCAGCCGCGGACACGCCGGTTACAGGGCGAGGGGGGTGCGTAGACTCATGACTG